ATGATATTCTCGTCAGTGTTTGCAAATTATATCAATTTATTTGTTGTTTCCATACATTAATGACCAAAATCTTTATTTTTATTCCCAGAAGTTAATAGACTTTTTATATTTGTTTTAAATTTCAATGCAGTGTTTAATTGAATTCATGAATACCATAATATCCAACCAAATCCTTAGTCTAACAGTAGATGTAATGAAAATGTAGCGATCATTTCAAGGCCTGTGTATCCTATAGTCTAACCTCAAAATAATCCTTTTTTCAGTTAATCCTCGCGAGGGATAAGAGGGGAGAAAACGAGTTATTAATTTGATTTAATGGACAAAACAAATGGCAAACCAGTGTTTGTGACAACGATTGGCACATACTTTTAGGTATTATTTTTTTGTGGACTTTTGTTCATAGGATTTGATAGGACTGTAGATTATCTGAATAGTTGTTTCGTGAGCAAAACAATTTGACTAAATGTTACCAATAATATACTGTAGTTTTGTTTTTAAACTTTAAACCCAACACCAAATGTAGGCTTAAATGCGAAAAGTGTATCAAATATTATTTTGCATTCATTTGCCTTTTGTCTCGCATTTGTGTTTCATTTGCTCGCCTTTAAGTTTGATTTGATTGTAATTTATATGAGAGTAACGTTAATGAGAGGCAAGAATAGGACAAAGTAGTAGTGATGGCTGAAAGCGATGATTGCTATCCCCTAAAGATGTCGATTAGGTGTGAGTTATGTAACTATAAGTCCAACAGAAAGAGTAATTTTGATCGCCATATGAAGTCTATGCACGAGGAGTGCGATCGCGTATGTATTGCATACACTTTGCCCGACACTACCTGTCTGTCCATCATTTCATACCTTATCCATCAAACCATACAATACTATCTGTTATTATGAGTTCCCTTTCCTACTATAAAGTTATACATTTAATGACTTTACAAATCTATTAAAATATGAATCATTTATATCTGATGTTTGATTTCAATTTGAAAGCCAATTCAATGTTGTGGACAAGTATTCGTGAATAAGGCGTCGCTGAAGAAACACAGCCATCAGTTCCATAAGGAAGGCTATCGATGCGATGAAAAGTCGTGTAATAAAGTGTTTCCTCGGTTTGTACGGTTTGCATGAATGCATTTTTGGTGCCAAATATTTATTAATTAAATTATACTTTTATAACTGATAGAAAGGCTTTACTCCGAAGACACCAAACGGTTCACAATGGGATCAAAGAGTTTTCGTGTGCGGACTGTATGTACGAAAATCGATTAGGTGTGAGTTATGTAACTATAAGTCCAACAGAAAGAGTAATTTTGATCGCCATATGAAGTCTATGCACGAGGAGTGCGATCGCGTATGTATTGCATACACTTTGCCCGACACTACCTGTCCATCATTTCATACCTTATCCATCAAACCATACAATACTATCTGTTATTATGAGTTCCCTTTCCTACTATAAAGTTATATATTCAATGACTTTACAAAATTATTAAAAATATGAATCATTTATATCTGATATTTGATTTCAATTTGAAAGCCAATCCAATGTTGTGGACAAGTATTCGTGAATAAGGCGTCGCTGAAGAAACACAGCCATCAGTTCCATAAGGAAGGCTATCGATGCGATGAAAAGTCGTGTAATAAAGTGTTTCCTCGGTTTGTATGGTTTGCATGAATGCGTTTTTGGTGCCAAATATTTATTAATTAAATTATACTTTTATAACTGATAGAAAGGCTTTACTCCGAAGACACCAAACGGTTCACAATGGGATCAAAGAGTTTTCGTGTGCGGACTGTATGTACGAAA